CTCCCCCTCCCCTAGCTGCGCCTATGGGACCGCCGCGTCGCCCCCAAACATCCCGCCCCAAAGCACTGAGTTGTTGTTTTTTTTTGTGTTTTTTTTTTACTGTCACTTTTTCTCCCTCTTGCCTCTTGCGCCGCGCTGTCCCTGACCGTTTGCCAATACCAATCTGGCGCGGAAGTGCGTCCAGCGACACTCCAGTGTGTCTGCTTATTCGGAAGGGAGAGGCGGCTAAAACTCCCAACGCACCCAGCGGCAGCGGCACCCAGCAGCCATCTTCCCTTCCGGGTCCCTGCGTCCTCCGCTTGCGCCCCACTACTCCAACCCTCCCCCCACCCCCTCCCCCTCTTAAACGCGCATCGCTCGTCGGTAAATCAAGGCGAGAGAGGAGCGTATGGGAGGGTGTTGGAAACTTCCCATGCATGCACTCTTGCACTACTTGCGACGTGGAGGGAGGCTTGTGCTGGGAGTGAAGGCCCCCCCCCCCTCCCACCTCTTTCCTTTCGCTACACTAGGTCAGGCCTGTGCCCCCCCCCCCTTTTCCCCACCACCGACTCCACTACTACTTTCGCGCCTAATTGCAGAGGAAGGAGGGAGAGTGTGAAGTGTCCGCCCCCAATACCCCCTTCTGTTAGACCCCCTTCTCTGTTCATGAGTTTTTTGTGTGGTCCGCGCGGGTTCTTTTTCCGCCCCTCTCTGTTTCCGTCGCCCCATACCGCCCTCCTCCTTCCCTCCCCTTCCTTAATATTTCCTTCCTCGCGACTAATTATTCACACCTCCTCCCTAAGATTTATATTTACTCTCTCCCTCTCTTCCGCCGGAGGCGTCTCTCCTGCTCTCCCTCCGCCCTCTCCCTCTCTCTCTTCCGACGACGCCGCTGCCATATCTCTCCATACTATTTGAATGCGTGATTCCGTACCTCTCCGCCTGACTTGCTCTCCTCGTTGGAGGCCTCCCTTGATGCCCGAGCTCCACCTCCCGGCCCCGCCCCCGCCCCGTGATGACCGTCAGTCGTCGCCCCAATATACTCCTAACCCTGACGCGGGGACGTATAAACGTGACGTTAAACTGCCCCGGCAAAGATTTGCTGCGCTCCGCGCGTTACTCGCGTCACGCCTCTCTCGCCGCGAGTCGTAACGTTTGGCGCGTCTCGTAAACGCCGCCCCGCCCGCCCCGCCCGCCCCGCCCGCCTGCTCAGCCCGTCTGCCGAGCGCCTCGCCGCCCGGGGGTGTAGGCAACCCATCCGACACCCGGGCTGCGGGTCTGCCTACCGAGCGATTCGGCAGGCGTCTTCCTCGCCGCCGGAGCTCGGGGTTTCTAGTAGAAGAGGCCATATATTTATTTCTACATTCGGGTAGGCTCGGTTCTGGCCCAGCTGGTCTCGGGCATCGTCATAGCGGTAGGTCAAAAACAGACAAGTTAATTAGTTGATTAGCTCAAATTTTTAGACAGTCGTCCCCAAAAGACTGGCTCTACCAAAAATGAAAATCCCCCCCCTCTCCAGTCTTCGCTTTCTACAGCGTAGAGCGGGCGCCTGGCGTGGGTTTGTAAGAAATTATTTCAAAAATAAGAGACACAAACGTTCCATCTAAAATTGAAATAGAAACGCCGTCTGAATAGAGCTGTCCTTTAAACTGAGAAAGTGGCACTTCGCTGCGTAGTGCGTGCGCATTCAGTAAAGTGGCGGGGGTGGGGTGTTTGTCAGCAAAACCCTGCAGGCGCGAATTATTAAGGTCTGACTGACAGGGGTGCACTGTCGGTCGCCTACATTCAGGTGTTTTGTGGCCCAAATTGCCTACCTTTCAGGCGGCTCTCTAGAGACCTCAGGGGGGGACAATCCCCCCCACCCCCTTAATCCGCGCCTGCACCCTGTCGTGGCCAATTTTTACCGCTATCCTGGAGATTAGCCAGTAGCCTTGGTTAGGGGAAGGGATTCCCGGCGTGTCACTGACCCCTGACCCTGTGTGCACCCTTACAGATGGAGCATCTTCCGGATGATGTGCTGCTCAAGCTCATGTCGTTCCTGGACGTGGCGGACTTGCTCCAGTGCTGCCTCGTCTGCAAGAGGTTGGCGCCCCTGGCCCGGCACGCAGACGTCTGGCGGCACCGAGACGTCTCCTGGACCTCGCGGTGTACCCGGCTCCGGCATCGCGCACTCTTCGCTGCACTGCGGCTGGCGCCGTGCGTCCACTCGTTGGAGATCCTTCTCCCACCCCTCCCACAACCGGGACTCCAGCTCCACACGCTTTTCACGGCGCCGTGTGCCGCAAGAAGGTTGACTCTTACATTGCGAGAGGAGCTCGGCGCCTGGCAAGCGTCCCTCCTCATAAGGCACCAGAGCGCCCTCGGCCGGCTCAAGGAGATCGACTTGCGCATTTGTTGCAAGTTAGGTTCCCAACAGAATGATTCCGCGCCACCAGTGGCTCCCGTGTTGTTCGGGACGTTGGCAACAACGTCTGGTTTGGATGCTCTGAAAATAACCGGCGACCTTAGGAAAGGCGACATGTTGGACGCTCCCGCGCCCAGCACCGTCGTGGCGTCCCTGAGACGCTTCGAGTGCCTCACCCGTGACCAAGTTGACTGCGACGCTCATTGGCTGGAGCCTTTTACCAACGCCGTGCTGGCCACACACGCCGCCACGCTCACCGACGTCCGCGTCGTCTCCCTCGGGAGGCCATGTCCCTCGCCCTTGATGGCGCCCCTCCTGGCCTCGATGCCGCACCTCACCATGCTGAAGTGCCAGATGCTGCCCGGCATGGAGGCCGTGGCTGCGTGCGCGGAGCTGAGGAGCGTTGAGCTCCGCGTGGACCCCGACATGGGTGCTGCCCTGCGGGCCTCGACGGCATCGTTCTTCCGCCTCGCCCACCAGCTGCGCCACGTCTCCATATGGTGCTCGGAGTTCTGCGAGGCCGGCGAGTTCGTCAGCGCCATGGCGACGTCCGGGCGATCCTGTGTGGAGACGGTGTGCGTCGACAACCAAGACGTCCTCGACCGGCCCCAGGCGGAGAGGCTTTCGGCGGCGGTGCACTGGTTGCCCGCCCTGCGCCTGCTCAAGATCAAAGTGGGAGCCTACTCGGAGGACGCGCGCAGAACACTGCTCACGGTTGCGAACAACTCTCTTCGAGTGCATCTTTGTGCGCCTCATCGTACTCTAAATCATCGCACTCTAATAAAATTATTTTGCTGTAAATCATACCCCAAGTCTAAATAATTAGGATTGCACCCAATACAGCTTATTTTGTATCATTTTGTTTACATCGAATAAACCACCGGCTTCAAGCTTTTGAACAACGTTTTCTAATCTGTTTCACCTTACGATACTCTACTATACTCTCATTATATCCCCGTTCGATTTATCCCAGGTGGCTGTAAAGCCAGTATTATACTTTTTTTCAGACAGGTGTGCAATCTTATTGCATCTAGGCCTTCCTCTCGGCAACAATTGTTCGCCTTTGTCGAGGGGCCGCCTAGTAGGCAGGCAGGCGTCAGCCCACTCCACTCAGGGTGTATTTTGTGGGAATTTTTTGCCCCCTTCCCCTCCCCCTCTTTGCCAGCTCTGTCACCGTGCGTCAGCGGCTACGACCCCACGCAGCGTGCCTGGCTTGCCTTATATACCTTCTCCGTCCGTGAGGCGCCCTGTGGTAGGAAATCCGTGCGTTTAAAATGCCCAGCGCTGATCAGAGCTCTGGCCTCGCTCTCCCTCAGGCTTGGCGCTCCCTAAGCCTGGGGTGCACTGTAAGAAATCCTGTGGTAAATCATTGCTAAGACCACAGAACTGGAACCACACCTAAAACACAGTGCGGACTGTGGTGGGCTACACCACAGGGTTTTTCTGTTGACCGGCTCAGTCTGTGACTCGTCTTTGGTTCGAGGCGTCTCTGTTCGTTCTTAGCTCTCGCTGATGACCCGCCGCGCTCCAGCAATCATATGCTGGAGGATTACTCCAATGTGTATCTTCGCGCGCTCGCGCGGAGATAGCAGATTTTTGAGGGGAGGTCAAGAGTTTGGTTTGGTCCTCCGAAGGGCCAGTAGCGTCCAAAGGCCTTTCGGCTAACGAGCCTTCGGGCTCAAGGTCCTCTGTGGCCCTTAGAGCAGAAGACCTATGTCTCCAGCGAAACACATGAGCTTGAACCGTGCCAGCGCCACTACTGCCTTTTGTTACTAATTTTTCATCACACAATTATACTATGATTGTGAAAGCACAGAACATTCGTGTGGTAGTTCTGTGGTTATCACAGGATTGAGCACAGACATACTGTGGTAGCTCCGTGCTTCGCACAGGATTGAGCACAGACGGGCTGTGTAATTAATTGACGCACTTTTTTCTGTGAAAATCCTGTGCTTTTTTCTGACAGTGTGTCCCCTCGAACCACCACCCCGCCCCGCCACGCCCCGTGCCGTGTGACTCAACAGTAAGTAATTGAATGAGCGGTTGGTGACGAGGAAGGCTGCGCGCCTCCTGGGGCTTTTTCATTAAGGAAACACAAGGGTTATGAGCACATACTCTCAGGTTCTTAGAGTCATTTTTTCTGGGTTGTTTGGTGTCAGTTTTAGGTTTGGCCTGTCACGCAACAGTCTTATTCGGATTAAAGTTTTTCTGCTCTTTTAAGTTGTTTCTGGTTCAGTTTTTTAGATCGTTTTTGTGTGTGTGTGTTTCTTTTTATTAAATCGCCTATCATGACAATTATTTTCATGCGTAGGCGTATCGTGTTCCATACAATGTAATAATGTACTAGTTTCTACATTTCGCGATTTGTGAGCGACTGAGAGGTGGTACGGCTTCGTACTAAGCATGACTGGACGCGTCTAGAGATGGGGAGTCAGCACATGTGTGCCTCTCTCAGTCGCCCACAAATCGCGTGACGTACGGACACCCCTACCTGGAATTGCCCCGAGGCTTTTAACTGAAGCGAGGAAAAAGCCGTTTTTATTTTAAAAAAAGGGGAGGGGGCAAATTAGTTCGTGTGTAGAAAATAATTCCGTTTCGACTGCGGGTGACGCCGAAGCAGCTTTCATTACCAGGATGCGGGAGGGTGGGGGCGGGGGCGGCTGTATTAATAACAAAAAATAAAAGGGACGGCGCGAGCGCCACATTTCCTGTTCGGTGGGTCGAAATGAGGGAAGAGGAAGGTGAAGGGCGGAGGGGCAGTAGTGCGATGGGCCGAGTAAGGCGCGTGCGGGGGGGAGGGGCCTAAGGGTCCAGGGGGCGGAGTGAAATTTGATAGACATCTGCGTAGAACGACGCGGCCATAAAAGG